AAAAAAAAAACTGAATGGCCCAAAGAATGTTTGACTTGCAGAAATACAACTAAGAGGGCAACAGTTGAGTAAGTAAAAGGTAAGGGAATTGTTAAAACATCGTTTGAAGAAAGTAAAGATCTGAAAATACAGCAGTTTGAAATAACACGTTCCTGGACAGAAAGATAACCTAGTAGCTCGAAAGCTTAATAGGGCGAGACTCAGAAAATTAGTGAGAGTGTATAAATATGAAACTGGTTTCCAGATAGAGAGATTTTCAAAGAAAGAGTGAACCTTAGAAAGGAAAACGAGAAACAAAGTTCAGAAAGTTAAAAGAGGCTGAGTAGTCTGAAACTGATAAAACAAAATCAATCAATTTTTATTAGGCCTAAAGTTTGCCTAGGCGTCGTATGTATTGCCTACTTGAAAAGGTGAACATGCATATTAATTCCAATTTTTTAAAGAGAAGACGCAGTTTAGCCCGAACTTGTGTTATTAAATTAAACAACTGGCGAGGTGTTCAGCAATTGCAATTTAGATGAAATAAAATCCTAAGCAACATGATGTCTAATGCACATAAAGCTCTTAAAACATGATCTCTAAATGCAGTAGTAATTTTTTATAATAGTTGTTTGTTGGTTACTAATCGTGATTATAAAATGAGTATAATAACAATCTGAAAGTAAAGAGCCTAGAGCAGGATTTCTATATGTAAGATGCATGTCCTATACATGGTTTCTATTGCACAAATAGGTAAGTAAAGCCCTATAGACATGTTTTCTACCCATTACTTAAACTAAGCATGCGTAATCCCACCCAATTCCACTATAGCCCAAATCAGTTGTTTACAAGTTATTACTAACCATGATAGTTGAATTACATAAGTAAAGAAAAATAAGAAATTACTCTATAGGGAGCCTTTAACCAGGCCCAATCTTCCAACCTCACTTCTTTCGAGTTTTACAACCTTTGCCATGGTTTGGGTGCGGCAAAGCTCCCTAAGGGTCCATTGAGATCCTTGGCCAATACCAGCACCCAAACACTACCAAAATGTTGAACAAGTGTAGTGTGGGATTACCAGCCTTGTGCATCAAAGTTCAATGAGTACTCAAGGGTACCCAAGGCAATGCTTACACGAAGGGGGTAGAACCTAAACTCTAGGATTAGTGAGAATGCGTGACATAGCTTTTAAAGAAATTGAGTTGAAAAACAGTTTAAAAAAAATGATCCATGTAGAACAAGTTTTGAAAGAAAACAATGTGACAATTTTGACAATCTCAGAGCCAAAATACCACATATAGTTCAAGGAAGTAAACACAAATAGGGAAAAAGGGAAGTGGGGACAAGTAGTTCACATGTAAGAGCACAGACATCAGAGAAAACACTTCAGCCTTCAACAGTCATACTCCCTCCCAAAGAGATTCAGGATTATTTAATAGCTAGGAAGGGTTATGAATACAGACTGATAACGTATTGGGGTTAGGGGGTAAGGAAGAAATGTATTAACAAGTAAAGGAAACATAGACAAGCTGAACTATAGGAAAGATGATCACATCAATGAATTAGCAAAAAAGCATGCTAATTGCAATGAAGACAGCAGAACCATAAGTAGAAGCATGAAAGAAATAAGATAAAGTGCAGTATGTATAAAAACATATTGTTTTGGAAGTTGTAAATCAAATAGAGGGCATACCAGTCGAGGATGAGATAATATAGAGCAGTAGTGTGCAGAGAAGTAGAGCAGTAGTATGCAGACCAAGCAAGTAGCAATGTATAGAGCAGTAGAATAGTAGAGCAGTCCCAAAATCACTCAGTCTTGGCTTTCAACCGACTGAGTAATCAGTAGTCAACAGGGGAAGTGAGAGAGGATGTGTAGAGAAACAAGAGAGAACAATGAGTATGCTTATGTGTGTAAGAGAGAGTTCAGAACACTGAATCTCCTTTTTGCTAAAGAGAGGGTAGAGTACTTATAGTTCTCGAAAATAAGTGGAAAATAAGGTAATACGTATAGACTGATTATAATTATAGAAAGAATACTTATTAGAATCAATTAAAAACTCGGATTTCCTTCAATTAGGGAGTCATATCTCAAACGACACAAATTGCATCAAATAAGAAAGATGTTTGCAAGACTAATATTTCCTTAACAGGAATAGCATGAAGCATGTAATAGGGACTAAGTACAAAATAATTACAAGTAAGGAAAGTAAAATAAAAGTATATTATGCACATAAATAGACGGATTATAGACGAATAAAAAAATTGGTTTAGGAAGTCACAGACGAGATTGAAAATCATAGGGAATCAACACTAAGTAAGGAAAGCATCTCACAAACAAGGAAGTGACTCAAATCAGTGGAAAACCTCCAAAGAAATCACATACAAAAAATCAGGGATTCGAAGAGATGCACAGAATCGGCAGAACATTTAGTAAATAGAAAACAATTAGACCTATTTAAATACAGTAGGCACAAAACCAAAGAACCCTAAGTAAGAAATCACAGAATCAGTGGAACGTTAGAACAAAATTAACACATAAAAATCGGGAAATAAACCAGAAGATTACGCAAACAAGCAGAAATACCAACACAAACATACAGTACTAAAAAAATTAGAAGATATAGTGATTTCGAAAGAGGTTCAGAAACCCTAGTTTTAAAAGAAGAACAAGGCGTTGAAAACTTGAGCACTCGTATAGATCGAGTAGAGAGTAGTGTAAAACACAAAAGAGTAAAATAAAAATCGTTAAAAAGATAGAGATTTAAGAGGTCTAGGTAGAAATTAGGGTTTCGTAAAACTAGTGAGAGGTAAGAAACATGGCTGTGCAACTCGTCAATAATGGTGTTCGTAGCACCATCGGACCAAAACCTATCGGGAAAAGGGCGGAGACAAACCAGGCAAAGCTTCTGGTGACCATCTTGTGTGGTGGGGGCTTCTGGGGTCTCGACGGTAGAGGGAATCAACAAGACAAGGTTTCATGACGGCTAGTGGTCGAGAGAGGTGAGGCTGGAGGTGGCTGGAGAGGCGGTGGATTCATCGGAGAGAACCAGAAGTTCTAGAGGGAAGGGAGAGCAAGAGTCAGTATAGAGAGAGAGAGAGAGACCGTCTTGGAAATGAGGGGTCTGGGGGGGTTGTTAGGATTTAATTTAGGAAATAAAATCTGGGTCGTTGATCTCATTTGATCAACGACTCAGATTAGATCGGAGCTGGACCGGGTAATTGAATTGGGTACGGGTCGGGTTCCAATTGAAATGGGGCTAGAAATTGGGGAGTTTGGATTGGGTAAATTGGGGGTTGAAATTGAAAACCGAATGGGCTATAATTGTAATGAAATGAGGCTAAAATGTTAAATAGCCAATTTTTCCTTTTTATTTTATAAAAATAATAAAAAATGATTTTGAAAGCAAATTAAAAGCACTGGATCCGTTAATAGTATATAAATATCAATTTAAAAATATTGGAACCAATTTCATAATTATAAAATGCTATTAAATCCTAAAGTAGGCTAAAAACAGCAATTATATGCAATTTAGCCTTTAAAATACCAAATAAATTTGTAAAAAATATACAAATATCACCTTAATTATATTTTGGTGTAAATATGAGAAATAAATAAATTGTTTACCAAAATGATAATTTTGGAAATAATTATTGAATTTTGCACTGCTAAAATAGACAATAAATTGGTTTTGTAAGTCTTTAGAAATTTGGAAAAAATACCAAAACACTTGGGCATGCTTATGTATGCACATATATGTTATTTTGAAAGTATTTTGAGTGTAAAAAAATACTTAGGGAAAAATTGGGTATCAATAGCTGCCCCTCTTTACCCGGGAAGTATGAAAGAGTTGTCGGGTAAAGATACGATGGCCAATTTTGCCCGAAAAGAAACGATTTGAAAAGTTTTGCTCGAGCTCTGGTTCCTGAGCTGCCTACATATCCCTGGTCTTACAGGAACCAGGCCACGTGTAGTTCAGGATCTATTGACGGGATATGCCGATGGAGATTTTGAAAAGAACGGACGTGATGTTTGGTTGAGAAAAGTGGTTGAAGTCTGATAGGCTGCGGGAACTGGAGCGGGATCGCTCCTGCTGAGGTGACTGTTGATAGTCGGTGTACCTGCAAATGAATAATACCAACATACATTGTGCATAAATTTAAACGTGATGCAAGTTCCCATCGGACCATGAATGTTGTCTTTGGACAGTTAGGATGATGTCCTCAGATCATGATGTCCTGGGTCATGAAGCGTATAATAAAGTATTCGCAGGCTATGAAATGATGTTCTCGAGTTATGCAAATGGTACCTTTGAACAATGACGCCTTTGGACAATTTGGCGATCTTTCAGCCCATGAAATGTAGAAGGTGACGATCTTTCATCCCATGAAATGTAGGATTTGGCGATATTTCAGCCGATGCGAGGCGTAAAAGGTGGCGATATTTCAGCCATGCGAGAGAGATAAGGTGGCGATCTTTCAGCCGATGCAAGAAAATAAAGTGGCGATATTTTAGCCATGCANAAGGCAGAAAAGTAGCCTTATGCAGATGATGATGGAGGTAGAGCTTAACCTCGAAAGGCAGAAAGGTAGCCTTATGCAAAATGCAGATGGAGACAGAGCTTAGCCTTNTTGGTATAAATACGGGAATGAAATAAATTATTCACCAAAATTGATAATTTTGGGAAGAATTACTGATTTTTGTAATGCTAAAAATGGACAATAAATTGATTTTAAAATCTTTGAAAAAATACCAAAACTCTTGGGCATGCTTATATATGCATGTACATGCTATTTTGAAAGTATTTTGTATATAAAAATACATAGGGAAAAATTGGGTATCAACAGCCGCCCCTCTTTACCCGGGAAGGATGAAAGAGTTGTCGGGTAAAGATATGATGACCAATTTTGACCGAATGAAACGATTTGAAGAATTTTGACCGAGACCTGGTTCCTGAGCTGCCTACATATCCCTGGTCTTACAGGAATCAAGTCATATGTAGTTCAGTATCCATTGGCGAAATATGCCGATGGAGATTTCTAAAAGCGGAAGCGATGTTCGGGTTGAGAAGGATCGTCGGAGTCTGATAAGCTGCGGGAACTGGAACGAGATCTCCCCTACTGAGACGGCCGTTGCTAGCCGGTTTACCTGCAAATGAGCATATATTGTGCATAAATTTAAACGTGATGCAAATTTCTATTGGACCATGAATGTTGTCTTCGGACGGTTAGGATGATGTCCTCGGACTATGACGTCCTGGGCCATGAAGCATATGATAAAGGATTCACAGGCTATGAAATGATGTTCTCGGGCTATGAGAATGATGCCTCAGAACTATGATGCCTTTGAATAATGATATGCAAAAAATAAAATGGGGTCCTCAGGCCATGGCATGGTGTTCTCGGGCTATGCAAATGGTGCCTCCGAACAATGATGCCTTTGGACAATTTGGCGATTTTTCAGCCCATGAAATGCAGAAGGTTACGATATTTCAGCCGATGCAAGACGTAAATAAAAGGTGGTGATATTTCAGCCATGCAAGAGGGATAAAGTGGCGATATTTCAGCCATGCAGGATGGAGACAGTGCTTAGTCTCAGAAGGCAGAATGGTAGCCTTATGAAATGCAGAGAAATGCAGGATGGAGACAATGCTTAGTCTCGGAAGGCAGAAAGGTAGCCTTATGCAAAATGCAGGAAATGTAGATGGAGACAGAGCTTAGTCTCGAAAGGCAGAAAAGGTAGCCTTATGCAATGCAGAGAAATGCAGATGGAGGTAGAGCTTAACCTCGGAAGGCAAAAAGGTAGCCTTATGCAAAATGCAGATGGAGACAGAGCTTAGTCTCGAAAGGCAGAAAGGTAGCCTTATGCAACGCAAGAAATGCAGATGGGAGACAATGCTTAGTCTCGAAAGGCAGAAGAGTAGCCTTATGCAAAATGCAGATGGAGACAGAGCTTAGTCTCGGAAGGCAGAAAGGTAGCCTTATGCAATGCAAGAATGTAAAAGGATGATCAGTAGTAAAATCTCTTAGCTGATAGGATTATGACAATATGACTGCTGGGGAGATTGTGTACGGATAGCAATTGCGGGCAAGTGATGATTCTGAAAAGTTACATTCTTGGGAGAGTATGCGTACATAAATATACCAGAAGATATTGCAAGTCGAGTGCCTGCATCCAACGAAAATCGTGAGTTCTGTGAGGGGAAAGGTTAGTTCGTCCCCCAGGCTCTTGACGTTGTGTGTCATTGGGGTAGCGTCGCTAAACAACAGCAATTTGGATAATAGTTATGCATGTTTTAGCAAATATATAATCGAAAATAGTTTTCTTTAGATGAACCAATGACTGCGACGTGGTTCAAGTCATTGCAACCTCTTTCACTCCGGAATTTTGAGGGTCCTCCTCAAAATTCTGCCCCAGTTTGCTAAGCAGACATTTCTGACGGCTGTGCTGAATGACTAAAAAAATCATCTTCAGAATTTTGAGGGTCCTCTTCAAAATTCTGCCCCAGTTCACTGGGCTGGCGCTTCTAGCGATGCATGGACTAAAATCAACTTCGAAATTTTGAGCGTCCTCCTCAAAATTCTGCCCCAGATCCAATAGTGGGGGAAAATAGGATTTTTATTAAATTATGACCGAACCCATAGGGCTGCCTACGTATCCCCTCTTAAACGGGAATCATGTTAGGCGTATTTCAAATTACATCATTAAGGGAATCATAAGCGGTTACACATAATATCGTTTCACTGCATCTGAATTGATTGGCTTCGGCCAGACTTATCCATCCATCTCTGCAAGAATAAGGGCTCCTCCAGTTAGAACCCGGTGAACCATGTATGGACCCTGCCAATTGGAAGAGAACTTCCCCTTAGCTTCATCTTGATGTGGGAATATTTTCTTCAACACTAGCTGCCCCGGTGTAAATTTCCTTGGCTTAACCCTTTTGTTGAAGGCTCTGGACATTCTGTTCTGATACAACTGCCGTGGCAAACTGTATTCATCCTTTTCCTATCTATAAGGGCTAACTACTCGTAGTGACCTCTTACCCATTCTGCATCATCTAACTCTACTTCTTGTATGATCCTTAAGGAGGGAATTTCTACCTCGGCGGGGATGACCGCCTCTGTACCATAAGGGCTAACTACTCGTAGCGACCTCTTACCCATTTTGCATCATCTAACTCTACTTCTTGTATGATCCTTAAGGAGGGAATTTCTACCTCGGCGGGGATGACCGCCTCTGTACCATAAACCAGCATGTAGGGAGCTTCTCCAGTCGATGTGCGGACTATAGTGCGGTATCCCAATAAGGCGAATGATAGTTTCTCATGCCATTGTTTGTGCCTTTCGACTATCTTCCTTAGTATCTTCTTGATATTCTTGTTGGCTGCTTCCACATCTCCATTCATCTGAGGCTTGTAGGCTGTAGAGTTCTTGTGTTTGATCATGAAAATTTCACACATCGCTTTCATCAAGTCGCTGTTGAGATTGGAACCATTATCGGTGATGATATTCTGGAACTCCGAACCGACAAACAATGCGGTCGCGCATGAAACCCGCCACAACCTTCTTAGTGACCACCTTGTATGATGCTGCTTCGACCCATTTGGTAAAATAATCGATTGTCACTAAGATGAACCTGTGCCCATTTGATGCGACAGGCTCGATAGGTTCGATAACATCCATTCCCCAAGCGGCGATTGGCCACAGTGAGCTTGTTGCAGTAAGCTCACTTGGAGGTGCCTTTATCATATCTGCATGTATCTGACAGCGATGGCATTTGTGAACATATTGGATACAGTCTGTTTCCATAGTCATCCAAAAATACCCTGCTCGGAGTATCTTCTTCGCTAAGACAAAACCATTCATGTGCGGCCCGCAGGTCCCTGCATGCACTTCGTCCAATAGCCTGGATGCTTTTTTTGCTTTGAAACACCTTAGTAAACCCAAATCGGGAGTCCTCCTATACATGATTCCTCCACTGTGAAAGAAGTTGCTGGATAGCCTACGAAGTGTGCGCTTCTGAGTAGCGTTGGCAAGTCCTGGATATTCCCTTGTTGTCAAGTACTCCTTGATGTCGTGGAACCATGGTTTTCCATCCGCTTATTCCTCAATGTGGGCATAATAAGCTGGCTGATCATGAATCTTTACTGGGATGGGATCAATGAAATTTGTATCTGGATGCTGGATCATGGACGATAAAGTAGCTAATGCATCAGCAAACTCGTTCTGGACTCTGGGGACGTGCTGAAATTCTGTCTTTGTGAACCTTTTCCTCAACTCCTATATATGATGCAAGTAGGGAAGTATCTTAGAGTTCTTGGTTGCCCACCCTTCTCGAACCTGATGTATGAGCAATTCTGAATCCCCGATCACTAGCAACTCCTAAACGTTCATGTCAATGGCCATTTTGAGCCCCAAGATGCAGGCTTCATATTCGAACATATTATTGGTGCAAGGGAACCTGAGCTTGGCAGATACCAGGTAGTGTTGGCCGGTTTCTGATACTAGGACTGCTCCTATGCCAACTCCTTTGAAATTTGCAGCTCCGTCGAAAAACAGCCTCCAACCATCATAGGATTCAGCAATATCTTCTCCTATGAAAGATACCTCTTCAATCGGGAAAATACGTTTTTAAGGGCTCGTATTATCCGTCTACGGGATTCTCGGCGAGATGGTCCGCCAAGGCTTGCCCTTTGATTGCTTTTTGGGTCACGTAAACAATGTCGAATTCAGTTAGCAGGATTTGCCACTTGGCGAGCTTGCCAGTGGGCATGGGTTTCTGGAAGATATACTTTTGAGGGTCCATTCTGGATATGAGATAAGTAGTGTAAGCACAGAAGTAATGCCTCAACTTCTGCGCGACCCAAGTCAGAGTACAACAAGTGCATTCTAAAAGAGCATACCGGGCCTCGTACGATGTGAACTTCTTACTGAGATAGTAGATGGCTTGCTCCTTTCTCCCTGTTTCATCATGTTGTCCCAGAACACAACCGAATGCTCCATCCAATACCACAAGGTAAAGCAATAGGGGCCTTCTTGGCTCAGGCAGAACCAAGACTGGCGGCGTTGACTGGTATTCCTTAATTCTGTCAAAAGCTTTTTGACAATCATCAGTCCACTTGGTAGCAGCATCTTTTCTCAACATTTTGAAGATAGGTTCATAAATGACAGTGGACTGAGCTATGAACCGGCTGATATAGTTGAGTCTCCCCAGGAAACTAATCATGTCCTTCTTGTTCTTTGGCGGCGGAAATTATTGGATAGCTTTGACCTTTAATGGATCCAATTCTATTCCTCGACGACTCACGATGAAGCCCAATAATTTTCCAGCAGGAACCCCGAATGCACACTTGGCGGGATTTAGTTTCAGGTTGTACCTCCTCAGTCTGTTGAAGAACTTTCTTAGATCTTCCATGTGATCCCTGGCTTTCTTGGATTTGATGATGACATCATCCACATATACCTCGATCTCCTTGTGTATCACGTCATGAAAGATGGTAGTCATGGCTCTCATGTAAGTGGCAACAACGTTCTTCAAACCGAATGGCATCATTTTGTAACAGTACATTCCCCACGGCATGATGAAAGCCATTTTCTCTGCATCTTCCTCATCCATCCATATCTGATGATACCCAGCAAAACAATCAACAAAAGACTGCAACTCGTGCTTGGCGCAGTTGTCTATAAGAATGTGTATGTTGGGCAAGGGGAAGTCGTCTTTGGGACTGGCCTGATTAAGATCCCGATAGTCAACACAAACTCTAACTTTCCCATCCTTTTTTGGTACTGGCACGATATTGGCTAACCATGTCGGATACTCTACTACCCTGAGAACCTTGGTTTTGACTTGCTTGGTAACCTCTTCTTTGATTTTCAAACTCATGTCGGGTTTGAATTTCCTGAGCTTCTGCTTTACCGGCGGGCATGTTGGATCTGTTGGCAGTTTGTGAGCTACAATGGATGTGCTGAGACCAGTCATATCATCATATGACCAGGCGAATATGTCTTCATATTCCTTTAGGAACTCTGTGTACTCTTTCTTTTCTGATGGTGACAGGTGAACACTGATGCACATTTCTTTGACATTCTCTGTATCTCCCAGATTAATGACCTCAGTTTCATCCAAGTTAGACTTAGGCCTAT